GCCTTTATCGCATTACTAGCCTTTTCTCCAGATTGGACTGTTGCAAATACAGCCTTTGAATAAATGTCTACCACCACGAGGACAAACTTAAGATTTAACTTTGGGCTGGCGCCGCGGCTCAATAGGCTACTCCTCCGCCTGCGGCGCCAGCACACCAGTTCTAGTCCCGGTCCGGGCGCCAGATTCTGTCCCAGTCACTCCTCTTCCTGTCCAGCTCTCTGCTGTGGCCCCGGAGTGTAGTGGAAGATGGCCCAAGTGTTTGGGCCCTGCACCCGCTTGGGAGACCAGGAGAAGCACCTGGCTCCTGGCTTCGGATCAGCGCGGTGCGCCGGCCGCAATGGCCTTTGGGGGATGAACCAATTGCAAAAGGAAGACCTTTCTCTGTCTCTCTATCTCTCACTGTCCACTCTGCCTGTCTAAAAAAAAAAAAAAAAAAAGAATTAACTTTGTCCAACTCTACTAAGTAAAGATTTCAACAATTTGTACACCCACAAAAACTGAGAACTAGTTTTACAGTTATATCTCGTAGTACAACTCATTGAAGACAGAGGCCCTGCACAGGGAGTTAGTGCACAGTGACTCCTGTTAATTTAACAATTAACACTCTATGTATGGCGTCAGTGATCACCCGAAGCTCTTGTCATGAGCTGCCTAGGCTGTGGAAGCATTTTCAGTCCACAAGCTCCATCAATATTTAGACAAGGCCATAAGCAAAGTGGAAGTTCTCTCCTCCCTTTAGAGAAAAGTACCTTCTTCTTTGATGGCTTCTTATTTACGCTGGAGGGTTGAGACCATTTACATTCAAGGAAACTATTGATAAGTAATGACTTTGCCCTGCTGTTTTTCCAAAAATATTCCTATTTTTTACCTTGAATTTTCTTTGAACTTTTACTGATTTTCTTCCTTTACCTTCTTTCACAATGATGACCATGTTTCTGTGTTTCTGTATGCAGCACATCCTTAAGCATTTTTTTTTTAGGGCTGGAAGGATGATAACAAATTCTTTCAATTTCTGTTAGTTATGGAAGGTCTTTATTTCACCTTCATTCATATGAGAGCTTTGCAGGCTAAAGTATTCTTGGTTGACAGTTTTTTTCTCTTAAGAGTTGGGATATATTCTAAGTCTGTAGGGTTTCTGATGAGAAGTCAGTTGTGAGTCTAATTGGAGATCCTCTGAAAGTAATCTGGCATTTCCCCTGTGCACATTTTAGAATCTTTTCTTTACGTTTTATTGTGGTGAGTTTGATTACAATGTGTCACGGTGAAGATCTTTTCTGGCCATGTTTATTAGGAGTTCTGTGTGCTTCCTGTACTTGAGTGTCCTTTTCTTTCTCCAAATTAGGGAGTTTTTCTGTTATTATTTCACTAAAAAGACCTTCTAATCCTTTCTTTCTTTCCACACCTTCAGGAACTCCTGGAACTGATATGTTGGGTCATTTGATAGTGTCCTGTAGATTCCCAACAGTGTTTTTTATTTTAGTTTTTTAAAGATTTATTTATTTTGCTTGAAAGTCAAAGTTACACAGAGATGGAGAGAGGGAGAGATGGAGAGAGAGGGAGAGATGGAGAGAGAGGGAGAGAGGGAGAGATGGAGAGAGAGGGGGAGAGAGAGAGAGGGAGAGAAGGAGAGAGAGAGGGAGAGAGAGAGAGATCGGTCTTCCATCTGCTGGTTCACTCCCCAGTTGGCCACAATGGCCAGAGCTGCACCAATCTGAAGCCAGGAGTTCCCTCCAGGTCTCCCACGCGGGTGCAGGGGCCTAAGGACTTGGGCCATCTTCTACTGCTTTCCCAGGCCATAGCAGGGAACTGGATCGGAGTGGAGCAGCTCGAACCGGTGCTTATTTTGTGGTGCAGCTCTTCAGTGGCTTTCTGTCATGAAGTAAATAATAGAAAATTCTTTGTGTATGACATGTTTCTTTTCAGCCAATCAGAAGCCAGGATTACTTTGTATGTAATAATAAGGTTTATTTGGAGAGGAGTTGTAAGTGGGGCTAACAAGGATACAAAGGGTTACATATTAGGGCTTCTTAGTTGTAGGGAAGAGAAAATTGGTCTGGTGTGTTTAACATTTTTACATATACTTTGAGCTCTTACTACAGAAATGTACAACTCTTTCTCAAGTATGGGTTTTAAAATATTCACTCTTAATACTTGCTAAGGTAGCAGTTTGATCACTGTTTTTGCTTTTGGTAAAACAATTTAATGGACTGTGAACGAAAAATTACCTGATATTAAGCGATAAAGGATTTTATGAAAATGTCAAGATTTCTGTCACCATCTCTACCAATTTTCCTCTCACCAGAGCCAGTTGATTTGGGTTCTGTAACAAGTTCCTCTTGTACACTAAGTGAGCTAGATAATATTTCCCACCTTTTAAGGAAAATATCTACTGATATCAATGAAATTAAAGGAATGAAAGCAGCAATTTTGACAGTGGAAGCGAATCTTTTTGATCTCAATGTTAGAGTGTCACAGAATGAAGCAAAAATTTCATCTTTAGAGGTTAAAATGAATGAGTATTCAGCATCAACATCTGAATGCAACAGAGAGTTGGAAGATCTTCACAATGAAGTAGACTTTGAATCACTATCAAGGACTACTGATGTAAAAATAATTGGCTTCCTTAGGAACTTTGAGAAAGGTAAACTCAGTATTCAGTGTCCTCTAAGGCCCATCATTTAAACTGTGGCTTTCCGTAGATCTTGCCTGTAGCTCCTTTGTGGAGGCAACCAGTCATTGTTGAATTTTTCCTGGACCTTAATAACAGATTTGGACTCCACATCATTTACCTGAGAAGCCTAGGATGTATCAGAATAATAGCCTTTTGTTGGAGTTCTCTAAAATGGTGTATTGAGAAGATAAATGTAGAAGGATAAAACTTGAAATGTGAAAGAACTATTCTCTTAACAAATTTTTATGTGAAATTATTTCTTTAAAATATTTACTTATTTATTTATTTGAAAGAATGATAAGAGGGAGAGACAAATCTTTGATCTGCTGGTTCACTTCCCAAGTGTTAGCAACAGCCAAGACTGGGCCAGGTCAAAGCCAGCCATCGTAATCTGGAATTCAAGTGCTTGTACCATCATCTGTTGCTTCCCAGGCACATTAGCAGGGAACTGGATCGGAAGGGGAGAGCTGGCATTTGATACAGGATATAGGCATGCCTAGAGGTGGCTTAACCTGCTGCACCATGTCGTCTTCCCTTATGTTTATGAATTAGTATTATGAATCTGATATTAGTAATTAGTATAAGAACCTATGTAAGAGATGATAAATACTCTAGCTGAGCATCTTTTTTTAAATAGGCAATCCAAATAGTTTTCTTGCTTTGCTAATATAGGGCCTAGACTGCAGACCTTGTTTGTTTATTGATTGATTTTTTTTTTGTTTAAAGATTTATTTTTCTTCTTCTTCTTTTTTTTTTTTTTTTTTTTTTTTTTTTTTTTTTTTACAGGCAGAATTAGTGAAAGAGAGAAAGGTCTTCCTTCGTTGGTTCACCCCCCCAAATGGCCACTACGGCTGGCGCGCTGCGCCGATCCAAAGCCAGGAGCCAGGTGCTTCCTCCTGGTCTCCCATGTGGGTGCAGGGCCCAAGCACTTGGGCCATCCTCCACTGCCTTCCCGGGCCACAGCAGAGAGCTGGACTGGAAGAGGAGCAACCGGGACAGAATATAGCACCCAGACCAGGACTAGAATCTGGGGTGCTGGCGCCGCAGGTGGAAGATTAGCCAAGTGAGCCGCGGCGCTGGCCTATTTTTCTTCTTTTTAAAGATTTATTTTTTCTCTTTGAAAGAATTAGAGAGAGAGGTGTCTTCCATCTGCTTTCAACCTTGGTTCACTCCCCAAATGTCTGCTATGGCTGGAGCTGAGCTGAGCTGAAGGCAGGAGTCAGGAGCTTTTGCTAAGTCTCCCACATGGGTGCAGGGCCCCAAGAACTTGGACCATCCTCTGCTCTTTTCCCAGGCTTACTAGCAGGGAGTTGCATCGGAAGAGAAGCTGCCAGGACTTGAACTGATGCTCATGTGGGATGCTGGTGCTGCAGGCCTGGTCCTTAACCCACTACCCCACAGTAATGGCCCCTAAAGATTTTTTTATTTACTTGAAAGGCAGAGTTGGGAGGAGGAGAGGGAGAGAGACAGTAAGCTTCTGTCTGCTGATTCACTTCCCAAATGGCCTTAGCAGTTGGGGCTGGGCCAGCCAAAGTCAGGAGCCTGAAGCTGCTTCTGGGTTTCACCTGGGTGCAGGGGCCCAAGGACCTGCGCCATCCTTCACTGCTTTCCCATGTGCACGAGCAGGGAGCTGAATCAGAAGTGGAGCAGCCAGGACTTGAACCGATGCCCATATGGGATGCCAGCACTGGCAGATGGCAGCTATACTTGCCAGCCCTGACTCTATAGGCCTTTTGAATGTCATATGTGTTAAATTATTTTTCCATCTATCCAAAGCCACAGTTTATCTTTTGGGAACTCCATACCCAAATAACTGGAGTGTTGTGTTCTCCAGTTCCAGTATGTTTTGTTGTCATTGCCCAGGATGTAAGAGTGAGTTGTTAGGTGAGAGTCCGGGTGATGAGAGGGGATGCTCTGTTTATGATGCATTTGGCTAGGGCCAATCTTAGGTGGTCAGAGTTGCTGTTCCCTCCACAAGGTATCTCCCTCTGGCTCTTGCACATTTTTGCCTTTACTTCCTCTACAGGTTTTATCTCCTTACAGAGGGAAAACGAAAAATTTATCTCCATTTTTGGTAAAACTCCTGAGTATAGCTTTTGTTATATAGGATATGCCATTGGTCTGTAATTGTTAAATTGTTGAAACTTCAAGTTATTTTTACACTTTTCTTTTAAGAATGCAGAAGGAGCACTTTGTGGGATTTAAGTATTTTTTGTATCTGTTGATAACAGCCAGGAGTCCGTGTCTTCAGAAAGATGCAGCTCTGTCCCATCACACTATGCTGGTGTTGTTGACTCTAAGCTTAGTGAAGTTTAAAATTCTATTCCAGGAACTCAACAGAGGCAGTTACTGTCCCGCCTGCAGATTGACCCAGCAATGGCGGAAACACTGCAGATTAGTCAAGGTTAGTAATTTAAATTTAATTTTTTACTGCATTCTAGCAATTTTGAGTTGCCATTTCCATTCCTTTCACCTCATATCTGGTATCTTAGATTCTGCCCTAAGATGCTGTATTTAGATGTATGAAAATATTTTAGGGCCAAGAGATAAGACCTGCATTTTCTTCATATTGTGTGCTTTTGTTTTTTTTTGTTAATTAGAATCTTTTTGTCATGCCATTCCACCTGAGTTCTTGGCACTTACGGGCCACTCACTTGCTAGGAAAAGCTCAAGTCCCTACTTATTCTCCATCTCTGTCCAACTTTCACCATTGCTCTGAGCTGCTTTGGGTATCTTCCATTCAGCCCTTTGTTTTTACTTCCCTTTAGAATCTTATTGCCAAGGCGACTCTCCGCACACAGACGTGCATACTCTGTGTGCTTCAGGACAGGGACTAGTGCCTTGTTTGTCCCTGTGTTCTTGGTGCCAGCTGCTGTCTGCTGCCTGTGCAGTATCTGGCAGATGATACAGAATCAGTATGGATCGTTGGATACCTGGAATCTTCTTTTCCCCTTGTGTTTCCCCTCAGCTTGCCTTTAGTTGGGAGGTCTGGTCCCTTAATAACACCCCACCCACCCCATTAAGCCCTTTTCTGAATCTTCCCTCTTGGGATGCCACAGTCAGTGACTGTATTCCTTGACACTTCCTCAGGATTCTGTCTCAGGAAGCTGTGCTTGTCTTCTCTGTGGTTGTCAGCACCCAGAGGCCAGGTCCTGCACAGCTGATGAACCTGATGGAGCTGCCATGCATCTCCAGCTTTAGTCTCTGCCTTTCCTGGCGCCTCCCTCTTCAGGGTGTCCAGATGTTCTCCATCCTTGCTTTTTGCCCTCTCATCTTCCAACATTCCATCTTGCTTTCTTGTGTAAGAGTATTTTATTTTTCAAGAAGTTTGGCAGCTTGTATATGTCAGCTTGTGCAGTTTTCTTCTTTATGCTTTAGTTTTTGTTTTTATCCATGATGTACACGTAGTTTGAAGCATTAAGTAGTTCCTTGAGGCTTGTGAGTGATCACAGCCCCTAACTTCCCTCCTGTACACTTTTTTATTTTGGAGAACCATTTTGTTTTTGCTTTTTTTTTTTTTTTAAACTTGCTGACTTTATGTGTGCAGTACTTTTTCTTCTGAGGACATTAAAGGATTTTTTTTGCCATTTTTTCCCCTTTCCTACCTTGGTGTTTTTCTTTCCACGTTGTTTGATCTGATTGTCTTTCATGATAGGGGCTGTCCTCAAATGTATGGGAGTCCTTGGTTGTGCCGTGTGTCAGAATGGACCACTAAAGAGGTGGTGGCGTTCTGGGATGGTGAGCTGGGGCCCAGGGACTTCCTGACTTTATCTTGAGTAGAGATACCATGGGGGAAGTGACAATCTTGTTCATCTCCTTGGGGCCACCTTGATATCGATGCCTTTAGGTCCTTAGGCTGGTCAGTTTCTCCAAGAAAGACCTTATAAGTAATGTCCTGGTTGCCAGAGTTCTGGGAGCTGTGTGGGGAAGGAAGCCTATGGTAGGGCAGTACCTCAACATTAATCTTTACCCTGTGGTTACCTGACACCTCCCACCCTGTTTTCAGTAGGAGCTGCTTTTTCTTTCCACTTGGCTTATGTGCAGTGGTGTATCAAGGTAAAGCTACACTTTGTCCACAAGAGAATGTATGAAATGGAGAAAGGTGATCAGGAAATCCGACTCCTTTAAGGCACCCTTTCATAGTACACATGGGCTGTTTTGTTATAGCATGTTTCATCAGAGACCTGACACTTCCTGGCTAGGCTAGGAACCCCTGGGAAAGCAGGGCTCCAGTCATGTACCGTCTTCAGCACTGAGGCGAAAGGGGACACTTGTGGTAAGGAGCGAGATTAATAAGATGGTGGAGTTTGAGATGAGGAAGAACTAGCTGCTTCAGAAGTGGACCCTTGGTGTGCTGCTCTTTTGCCTTGCCTTCTCCCCCATCTCTTCCCCTGTACCCTGTGCTGCCAGCTCCTCAGTCTTGGTGAATCCGGAGATCTAAATTTGATTCTTCATTATTGGCTTAGAATTCAGCCAGTGCAGATCTGCTGAGTTCCTACTCATCTATTTTCCACTTTGAAAATATGGTTTCTTTTCCTTTGACAGTTATTCTTTGTATGTGTGTTTAAAAAATGTTTATAAGCCGGCGCCGTGGCTCAATAGGCTAATCCTCCACCTTGCGGCGCCGGCACACCGGGTTCTAGTCCCGGTTGGGGCGCCGGATTCTGTCCCGGTTGCCCCTCTTCCAGGCCAGCTCTCTGCTATGGCCAGGGAGTGCAGTGGAGGATGGCCCAGGTGCTTGGGCCCTGCACCCCATGGGAGACCAGGAAAAGCACCTGGCTCCTGGCTCCTGCCAGGATCAGCGCGGTGCGCCGGCTGCAGCGGCGGCCATTGGAGGGTGAACCAACGGCAAAAGGAAGACCTTTCTCTCTCTGTCTCTCTCTCTCTCACTGTCCACTCTGCCTGTCAAAAAAAAAAAAAAAAAAAAAAAAATGTTTATGACTTTTTCTTGGAGGTTCAAGAGAGAGTAAAGAGTGAGTGTGCAAGTCCAACTGGTGTCTTGCTATAGGTTGTTCCTCCCTCTCCCATGTCTGACCTCCATGGGACCCAGGCTACCAGTGTTAAATAAGCTTGCAGAAGTGGACAACAGAAAACTGTTTTCATGTGCACTTTGCTCAACTTTGTAGTGGGTGACCTGCATTCCTGTTTCCTGCAACCTTTGATCTTTTGGTTTCCAGGACTTTGCATTTTCATTTTCCTTTCAGCTCCTTTCCTTGATTGTCCCTTAAAATGCCAATTTTCCCAAGGTCCTGCCTCAGTGTTTTTTTTTTCCTAAGATTTATTGGATTGGCACTGTGATGCAACGGGTTAAGCTACCATCTGCAGTGTCGGCATCCTGTGTGGTTGTCAGTTCAAGTCCTGGCTGCTCCACTTCCAATTCAGCTCCCTATTGATGTGCCTTGGAAAGCAGTGAAAGATGGCCCAGGACCATGGGCCCCTGCACGCATGTGGGACACCCAGATGAAGCTCCTGGCTTCGGCCTGTCCCAGCCTTGGGCATTGTAGAAATTTGCCGAGTGAACCGGCAGCTGGAAGATTGCCATCTCTGTGTCTCCCTCTCTCTCTGTAATTCTCTCAGATAAATGGATGTCTTAAAAAGGGGGGGGGGGGGATTATTTATTTGAAAGTCAAAAGTTACAGAAAGAGAAGAGACAGAGATCTTCCATTCGCAGGTTCACTCCAGATGGCTGCAACATCTGGGGCTGGGCCAGGCCAAAGCAAGGATCTTCTTCCAGGTTTCCCACATGGGTCGCTGGGGCCCCAACATTTGGGTCGTCCTCTGCTGCTTTTTCCAGGCTATTAGCAGGGAGCTGGGTTGGAAGTGGAGCAGCCAGAACTCGAACATGTGCCCATGTTGGATACATGCGGCAGCTTTACCTGCTATATCACGTCAGCCCTCTCAGTATTATTTATTTCATCTACAGAGAGCCCTCAAAAAGCTCATGGAAAATGCACACACATACTCACATGGATTTCAGAAATTTCTGTGTGAGAAAATTCTGTGTGGCATAGTAGGAAACCACTGCTGCTAGACTGCAATCAAACTCTTATTTCACCTTCAGTTTCACTCTGCGTATTTCTCTCCCCTTCCTGTCAGTCAAATCTGAATTTGTATCCTCTAAACACATATGAGAGCCGACAAAGAGTTGAAATGGAATACATGAGAAATGGACATTGTCTTTGCCCTTTTCTTAACCTGCTCTTTCTCTATTCCTGTGTTTCCTGTCTCAGTTTTCCCTTGTTCCCGTTCGCACTCCATTTCTGTTTCCCTTTGCATCTGTACTGCCCTTGCCAGGGATGGTGGCAGAAGTGGCGCTGCTGTGGGGAGTGTGGGTGTCATCTTACCTTGGATGTGTTGGAGTCGGACAAAGGATAGGAGAATGTTTTAGCTCAGAAGCCTCAGTGTCTGTCCTGGGTAATGAAAAGCCTCATTACTGAAGTCTGGGAGACCTTTCTTAACATTGTGTTTCTAAAATCATTTGAATCTTTTCACTTCCCTGCTTAGGAATCTCTCTTGGTTTCTAACTACTTCTAGGCCAGAATCCAAATTGTTGAGACAGACAAGATTCTCCATTCTGTGCTTCAGCCTTCCTTGCCCCTCACCTGCTGGCCCAGACTGCGTCCTTGCAGCCTTACCGCATTGCTTCCTTTTTCTCACAGGACTAGTGCTTTGTCCATGACTTTCTACCCTCATTTTCCTCTCCGGAGCACGCTCTGTACCCCCGGTTTATTCGTGCTCTTTTCTTTAATACTCACTTGAGATAATTATCCTTGGTAAGCTTTTCCTTGATCCCCCAGCTAGAGTAGGTTGCTTTGTATTCTCCCAACGCCTTGTTCACTTCCCTTTTGGATCACCTTTTGGGTAATGCTGTGTTGGAATTTATATGTGTCTATTTTTCTGTTCTCCCTGTGTACCTAGTACAGTAGTGTTAGTTGTTTGGTAAATATTTGTTCCATGAATGGACATGAATGAATAGCCTGTGATTTTAGTCCCTGCTATTTCTGTCTTAGCTTTAAACAAAGTGTATTAACTTTAGTCAGTTGATGGCATCTTGAGATAAATTACCATATTCCTTATGGGATAAAGGGCTCAGCCTATTTGTAAAGTAGTTCTGTTTAGTTGTATTGTACATGGGGTAAGTCTTAAATGTCCATCTTAAAATTCCCTTTCAAAATAGTCCACTATCTACAACTACGCAGGAATTACACCAGCTGAATTCTTTTCTTTAGAACATATTCCTCTGTAAGTTTTGCTGTGCTAGACAAATACAGATTTTAGAAAAGTTCCTTAGTCTGTGCATCATAATCTGGGAGCATTAGGACTCTATAGTTCTTTTAAAAAAGACTTTTGTGCTGTTAAGTGTATATGGTTACTAGACCAGTAGGTGCCTCATGAGAACTTTCTTCTGTGGCCAGTAGTAGTCATTAGAATCATTTGTCCCATTGAGAGACACTTAAGGGCTTTGACAGGATGGCTGGAATAGAATTGCAGCCCTATTTCTGAGTAGAACCACTTGTGTTTTTCCTTTGTATGAATATATAAAAGATTGACATTCTTCTCACATGTGTGATGTTGGGAATGCAAGGTATATTCAAAAGTAAACATTTGTGGCCAATTTTTTTGGCTCAGATTACTATGACATGGAATCCATGGTCCATGCAGACACAAGATCATTTATTCTGAAGAAGCCAAAGCTGTCTGAGGAAATAGTAGTGGCACCAAACCAAGAGTCGGGGATGAAGACTGCAGATACCCTTCGGGTACTTTCAGGACACCTTATGCAGACACGGTAGATGGTTTCTTTTTCTTGTGTAGCTAATTTGTGTGATTAGATAGAGCAAGTTAACCGTTAGTTCCCAGCTCCCCTCCTCTCTGCCCCAGCCCTAGCCCCAGCCCCTAGTGTAGAGTGCTTTTATTAATTGAATAGCTAGGCCAGGAATAGTTATAGCCAGATTCAGTTTTCAAGAATTTTGGTTCATCTTTCTTGCTCAGAAATCCATTAACTTACAAACAAAAACTCACTGTGTGATATAACCCCATTAATAAGATTCTTAACTTTACACATATCCAGTAAATGAGATTCTAAAAGCCAGGATACCAAAATCAAGAAATCTAGAGTCAGCAGGTGGGGGTTTGGGTGATTATTCACTTAGAAAACAGAGTAATTGTGCTGTAAGGGAACAGATTTATAGATAATAAACATAAAACTACCTAAAAGTGTGTTCTGAGCATCAGTGGTAGTGTTTTATTTCCATGTTGACCCTATGAGGATCAAATGGACAGTGGGGGTCATGGTGGAGGGAAGATTGTCTTTAGTAAGCGCAGGATGGAGGGTTGCTGGTGGCTGGCCATGGCCTCATGTGAAGAATCCATTAACACTGTACCTGGAAGTCTACCAAGTTGGTTTTGTTGGTTTTGTTTTTTTAATTTCCTAACTGAACTAAACACAGAGTAAGGGAGTGGTAGTTCTGCTGAGGAGCACTTTAGGAAACTCAGCGTTTCGTATTTGTTTCCCTAATTCTATGGTATTTTTTATCTGTCTGGCAGAGATCTTGTACAACCAGATAAACCTGCAAGTCCCAAGTTTATAGTGACGCTGGATGGTGTCCCCAGCCCCCCAGGATACATGTCAGATCAAGAGGAGGACATGTGCTTTGAAGGAGTGAAACCTGTAAACCAAACTGCAGCCTCACACCAGGGACTCAGAGGTCTCCTCCACCCACAGCAGTTGCAGTTGATGAGCAGGCAGCTTGATGACCCAGATGGTAGCTTTGCCAACGGTGTGTTGAGAGCTCAGACGGGCCCTTCTCAGGGTGCTATTACTGGGAAGAGAATCTCTGACTTATTTCTCTGCCTTGAATGCGTATTGATTGGAGGCCTTGCTTTTACACAGTAATGGCCATTTTTCTTTTTACAAACAAAAATGCTTAACGTTTAGACTGTTCTCCTGTGTGTTTTGTAGGTGGGCTCTTAACTCCTTTGCTAAAATGGAAGTCAGCCATGGAAGCTAAAAACACCTCCTGATTATATATGTTAAAGAATGAACTATTGTTCTTGCTTACCTTTCTTGTTTCCTTTAGAAACTATACTCTCACTTTCCTCTTGTGTTGGCAGTTCTTTTATAAGAGATAAAAGTTCGTGTTTTTATTTTTTTTGAGCCAGTGAGAGACAACTCCCCATCTGCTGATTTGCACCACAAATGCCTGCAGTGGCTGCCACAGAGTCAGACACTCAATTAAGGTCGCCCAGGTGGGGACAGGAACGCAGCTACTGTGATCCATGACCACTGCCCCTGCTCTCCCCTCTTCTCTCAGGGCGTGCATTAACAGGAAGCTGGAACTAGAAGCTGGCGCTCTGGTTGGACCCCAAGCACTCTGCTCTGGGATGTGGGCATCTCAATTGTCAGATTTAATGACTGCCCCTAATTTGTATTTTGGTGCTATTTTCACCTCAACGAACCTTATCCCCTCGTCTGTCAGGCTGTTTCTAGGAGGTATAGAGAAGACCTGTTCAATACCGGAGAGCAGTATTTGGCAGAGCTCAACAGTGCCGTGCTTTGAGGCAGGTGCATCTTATTAGCTCTGCTGCTTTTCTCACTGAGTGCTGGTGGCAGCTGCTATCTAATGTTCACGGTAGGAATAAGGATCTTGCTCCCCATGGTTTTTTTTTTTTTTTTTTTTTTTTTTTTTTTTAAGATTGATTTATTTATTTGAAAGAGTTGTGTAGAGAAGGAGAGGCAGAGAGAGAGAGTTGCAGGTCTTCTATCTGCTGGTTCACTCCCCAGTTGGTCACAACAGCCAGAGCTGCACCGATCCAAAGCCAGGCGCTTCCTCCGGATCTCCCACACGGGGCGCAGCTGCCCAAGCACTTGGGCCATCTTAGGACATAGCAAAGATCTGGATGGGAAGTGGAGCAGCCGGGTCTTGAATCAGTGCCCATATGGGATGCCAGCACTGCCGGCGGCGGCTTTATCCACTATGCCACAGCGGCGGCCCCCATGTCTTCTGACACCTCTTGATTGACAGAAGTACTGGATTTTTTTTTTTCCCTGAAAGATATATTTATTTATCTTGAAAGAAAGAGGAAAAGACAGAGCTTCCATCTGCTGGTTCACTCCTCAAATGGCCAAAGCCAGGAGTTTCCATGCTTCCCCCAAGTGGATGCAGGGTTACAAATATTCCTCCAGACCCTTAGAGGGGAACTGGGTCAAAAATGGAGCAGCCGGGACATGAACCAGTGCCAAGATGGGATGCTGCTGTCAAAGGTGGCAGCCTCACCCACTATACCTCATGGCCTGCCCTCAGCATTAGTGGATCTTAAAAATGAATTGGTTCAAAGAAAAAAGCAAAAGTGAATTTTGAGATTTTCACCAAGTAATCCTCTTGGCAGAGAGATGAAAATGTATTGAATACAGTCTTTAATTGCAAGAAATACAATAACCTTTGGGGGGAAATAAGGGTTAGTGAAGAAGTAACACTGTAATCTTTGACTGCTTTGCCTGCTGGAAGTCTTGATGATTAATGGAGGGGGTTGAAAATCTGATCCTATCACCCAGAACCATTTTAAAGTAGTCACATAGTAAAGCAGCTGCAGTAGTAAAGTAGTGCAGATTTCCTTTGTTTAAAACAAGAGGAAATTCTATTTTTTTACTACTTTTGAGTTTTTAATTTGGTAGCTTAAAATGTGGTCTCAATGTATAATTTATTAAAATGCAGATGTCCATGTTGGATTTTATTGGCATATATGTAGTAGCCCTGACATTGTCAGTAATATGTTAGTCCAAAGCCTTGTCTTGAATACTCACGTGCAGGGGTGGGGTGGGGAGTGGTGGGCCTGGTGGCTGCTGGAGGTGGAACTTTGTAGCGGGGAGAACTGAGTGAACTGCCTCTTCCCCTCCACCTCCAAGCTTGGAGCTTGAAAGTCTGTGATTGCATTCGGTTGGTTTTGATATTTCAAGCATACTGAGAAGCACAGCTTCTGGCCATCGTTACATGGCAGCATGGATTTTTATAGCTTTCAATTAAAAGTGAATTTACCTCTTAAAACTTTTAATAGGAAACATTTGAACTAAGAATACTGTCCTAGATGTAAAATAAATTTGAAGATGCTTCTTTTTGGGCTGTCAAACTGAACTTGTGTGCCGAGGACAGAGGTGGGTTCAGTGGAAGCATAAGTTAGGTTACAGCTGGTTGCCTGTTTTTCCTCCTTTTTTCCAGTTAGTCATACTGGAAGGAAGGCGTTGTTTTCTTTGTAGGTGAGGAAACTGAAGTTCAGAGGTAACACATGCCCTGAGTGTCCAGCCAAGCTACCGAGCAGCAAAGCCGTATTTCAAGTGTCTGGCCTCCGGCGGGGGGGACTAGAGCAATTTAGTTAATTGATACTTTCATAGACATAAAGGTGAACTGCAACAAAATACGTATGATCCCATGATGCTTGTGTGTGTGTGTGTGTGTGTGTGTGTGTGTGTTTTGGGGGGGAGGGGAGGGCTAGGTGGTCTCAGGCTAGAATGTGGCAGGTATGATTTTGTGTTATTCAGTGTTCTTGATTTACAACAGCTGCCTGTATTTAAAATTTACGGAAAGGTAGATTTTTGGCCTGTTGGAACAGGAAGAAATACAGCAACACAGGTCCTGCTTTGCCATGTCAGGAGCTGATGCTCTGATTGGGCGTGACATAGAAGTCAGTGGCAGCGAGCTCTGCAGTGGAGCGTGCCCTGGGTCTCAGGGTGTTTCCCGACCGGTCCCTCTCTGCCATCTGTTGTCTTCCACCCAGGCGGTTCTGCTCTGATTTGCCTGGCCTCTTAGTGTGGCATTTGTGATCTATTTTAGGCAAAAATGTTTTCCTCTCTTTTTAGACATCGGTGTAAGTTTAGCACCTGAATTAACTGAATAAACCTCAGTGAGTAGGAATAATTCTTACTGGATATGAGATTTACCTTTCACGTTCCCTCCCTCCCTTGTGTTTTCAGTTTCTATTTAATTTTCTTGGCTGCCTACTGACATCCTTCCTTCTCTTTTATATTTACTTTGATTCTGAAATACTGTTGAGTTAGGAATTTTGGTGAAAACTTTGGCCCTACTGGCAGGATCAGAGTTCACTTCTGTTTTCACATTGAGAATTGTGGTCTCTTTACTGGTAATCTTTTAGAGGATTTTTGTGACCGGGGTCAATCAGATTATTTGGGGGTCATATGTTTTAAATGACCTTAGACCCTAGAGTGGGGTTGACCGGTATGAGGGAAAGGTTCCATGTACTGAATTGATCCTAACTAATGAGGTGCTTTCACTCCTTTCCTTTATAGCTGAGATGAGTGAGCTGAGTGTAGCACAGAAACCAGAGAAGCTCTTGGAGCGCTGCAAGTACTGGCCAGCTTGTAAAAACGGGGATGAGTGTGCATACCACCATCCGGTGTCACCCTGCAAGTGAGTCACAGCGCACAGCGCCTGCTGTACGCTTTTGTTTCTGTTTCTTATAGGGGTCTTTGCTGTGGACCAGTTTGAGGTTCATAACTAAGTGTGTTGGCCCTTCCTGTCGTGCTCCCCAGAGCAGCGTACCTGTATGTCTGTGTGTGCTTTGGACCTGTGACATACTGAAAACTATCTGGGTTTCCCTGAGGTTTTTGTACATTTAAGGAGATAGGTATAAATGCCTTGGGTAGCAGGAGTCCAAGTACCTGGACCATCTGCTGGCGAGCTATACTGCAAGTGGTGGCTTAACCTGCTGCACCATGATGTGGGCCCCTGGTTGAGTTTCTGTAGCATGTGCCTTGCACATATGTCCTTACCATAAAACTTACAAAATACAAGTATTTGGACCATACTTTTAGAGTAAGTGGTGGGATTCTTGCCATAGTAAAAGCTTTCACGGTGACTTGGTCTGAGTCAAAAACCTGATTTGTTACCCAGCTTTCAAGACAGTTTGTATCCTGTTTTGATACCTGGCCTCATTTAAAAATGGAGTATTCTTTTGTTTGCTTCCCTGTTAATTCTGCAGCTCTTAAAACAAATTGTGATGGGGTCTAAGGATTTCCTTTACAAAAAACTAACACTGCATTGAGATTAAATGTGAATGTGCTTTTTTTGTTTCATAGAGCCTTCCCCAACTGTAAATTTGCTGAAAAGTGTTTATTTGTTCATCCAAATTGTAAATATGATGCAAAGTGCACTAAACCAGATTGTCCCTTCACTCATGTGAACAGAAGAATTCCAGCACTGCCTCCAAAACCAGGTCAGTGGCTCTTTGCACTTCTACATCCAGGTGATCTATTTTTTTCTGACTAAATGGAAGAAGAGTAATTTTAGAAACAGTTCTGATGGGAACAGTTAATCTAAACATGTGCCCATCTTACCATACTCTATAAAAGTATTTATCATGACTAATGAATATATACAACTCACCATTTCTAATTTAAAAATGGTTTCCACCTTGATAAACACATCAGTAGACTGCATGTAAGATTCTGTGAGACAGATTTGATTAATCTTCATTCTTATTTTTGTTAGCAGTTACAACACCAGGAATACCTTCTAGTAGTCAGCTCTGCCGTTACTTCCCGGCTTGTAAAAAAATGGAATGTCCCTTCTATCATCCAAAAGTAAGAACTTCTATTTTCCCCAAAATCAGTTTAACAGTAACTGTCTTGATGATCACTAGCAGATTGAATGTCTTGCCTCCCCCCCCCCCCCCAGTGACTTCTTTATTTTCAGAGTTAATTTTATGATCTTTAGATCTTCAAGTTGTTTCCTAGTTGTTGCCTAAGGCCTGCCCCCAAATCCTGGGTCTGGCTCCTTAAGCTAAGTTGTCTGAAAGGTTTTTATGTGCATGTCCTAAGCTAAGCGGAGAGGGGACAGCTTTGTCATGTTTTTCATTTTTTCTGCCTCTGAATGTGTGGGTGTTTGTTTCTTAATATTAGGCCATAATCAAAGTCAAGTCTGATAGTGCTGCTTAATACCATCCAGACAGGGCCTGATGATTGTGTCTCTGTGCTAAAGATGGGTTCTTGTATCTCCTGCTGCTTAGCTGCTGAGAGTGAATGCTTTTTCTGAAAGGCCTTCACCTGTCCTACTGTAGAGGAGTAGATGAGGGGAGGGTGCATGTGAGGGATGCTGGGCAGGATGCGTAGGGATGATTACTGCATTGAGTAGAAGTTTGTATTGTCGGTTTCCTTTGTATTTGTTAATTTTTAAAAAAAGATTTATTTATTTGAAAGCCAGTGTTAGAGGCAGAGGGAGAGGAGTGTCTTCCATCTGCTGGTTCACTCCCCACATGGCAACTGCCAGAGCTGCGCTGATCCAAAGCCAGGAGCCAGGAGCTTCCTCTGGGTCCTCCCACGAAGGTGCAAGGGCCCAAGGACTTGGGCCATCTTCTGCTTTTCCTAGGCCATAGCAGAGAGCTGGATCGGAAGTGGAGCGGCCGGGACTCGAACCAGTGCCCATATGGGATGCCGGCCCTGCAGGCAACAGCTTTACCCGCTATACCACAGTGCTGGTGCCCAGTTATTTTTTTGAGTAACAGACAAATCTTCCATCCACTGTTTCACTCTCCCAAGTGTCTGAAATGGCTAGGGCTAGGCCAAGTGGAAACCAGGAGCCAGGAACTCCATCTGCTTCTCCTCTATTTGGGTGGCAAGAGCCCGCGCACTTGGGCTGTCCTCTGCTGCCTTCCCAGGCATATTAAAGTGGAGCAGCTGGGATTCAAACCAGCACTGTGATGTGGAATGGTTGGCATAACAAGTAGCAGCTTAATCTGCTGTGTCACAGTACCAGCCCTTCCTCCTCAATTTTTGTTTTTTGGATTATCTGGCTAGGATTTCATGTCTGAAGGGAGATTCATTTTTCAAGGCTTAATTAGTATTAAAATGAGTTTTACAGACTTAGTGGTTGAGGGGGTTGGTGTCTGTCAACTCTTAATGTTAGCCTGAGGGTGCTGCTGAATCACTGTTCTGTTCAGCACTGTAGGTTTAACACTCAGTGTACGAGGCCAGACTGCACATTTTACCACCCCACCATTACCGTGCCACCGCGACACGCCTTGAAATGGATTCGGCCTCAAACCAGGTGAAGATTAAAATTAGTTTTTCTGCCTTTTTCAAGTACTTTTCTAATATGTAGCTTGTAAGTATGCAATTAGATACTTTTTTCCTGTGTTTATACAAAGTTCCTTTAGCAAAATAATTTACCATGGAGACCACATTTTATTGATTACTCTTTTTTAACCTTGATCTATTCCAGATCAGATTTACTTCTCATTATATAATATGCAGACATATACAAGGGCTAGCAGGGTTCCATATATACTATTTATAGGTCCCAGATCAATTTTATTAATAATTGTAAAATAAAGAAATTTTCAGTATACTTTAGTGTGGTCTATAAATTTGATATATTGCTTCTGTGTGCTTTGTAAGCTTAGAACTTAAACAAGTTTATTTTTAAAAATTATTTGAGAGGAAGAGACAAAGAGAAGGTCTTCCATCTGCTGATTCACTCCCCAAATATGGCCGGAGCTGATCTGAAGCCAGGAGCTTCTTCCGGGTCTCCCATGTGGGTGTAGGGGCCCAAGTGCTTGGACCATTTTCCACTGCTTTCCCAGGCCATAGAAGAGAGCTGGATTGGAAATGGAGCAGTCGGGACTATACCAGCACCCATATGGGATGCCGGCACTGCAGGCAGAGAGTTAACCTGTGCAATAGTGCTGGCCCCTAAAAAATTAATACTTAACATTGTAATCTGATCATATATTCATAGTTTAAAAAAATACTGAACAGCTGAGGTATATGGTATGTGAGGATATAAAACAATTATTTAAATTTTTTTTTTTCAGTGAATGACAGTCCTACATGGCAGAAGATTATGCAATTTGAAAGTTTCTATCTACTGCTGAAAGATTCTACAGAACTTGTCAGATCTTTGAAACTTGGAATATATTGCTTTCATAATATGACGTTTATTGCCTATCTGAAGTGTCTTAATTTTTCCAAGTTTGTGAGTTTATTAAGTGGTCTTAACATTCGGTGTTTTTTCGTTAAAAAACTGGTTTAAAACATTTCAGGCATGTTTGTATAGTGCTGTTTCAAGTATCAAGCGATGTACTACAGTTTAAGCCCCTGCACCCCCATTGCTGTGTGTACACAGAGAAGCAGTGAGAATGAAGAGCAGTTATTATTCTAAAAGTTGAATTGCTGCTTTTCACTTTTTCCAAAGATTATAACAGTGTTCATAATCCACCATGGGAACAGGAGTGGCCAAAACTACTGAGGCAGTTTAAAATCATTCAATTCTTTTTAATTTTTAAATGAATGAGATAGTACAGGCCTCTTGGGTTGAGTGCCACTTTGGTAAAATGGTCCCTAAGTCTCTCGCATTCTGTGAAATGGGTATATAGGATGGAAATAGTTGGAATGCAAAAAATATCAGTTCCTTAAAATATATTTAACATATACTTTTCAAATAAATTTTTGGGGAACTATATTATCACAAAATTATACAAAATTTTTACAGGTATATACATAAGGTATCAGAAAACAGACTTTAAACACAATATTATAAATACACATAAAATTTCACATTCTGAAAAATAACTTCTCAGAATACCACAGAAAATATAGGTACTATAGAAGATAACTTTTGAAATGTAAAAATTAAATAGTATATTTTCAATGACAGAACTGTATAATTACAGAGATCAGATGGGTAAACCAAAAAATCAAAAGAAACTTTTGGCCTGTGTTAATTTTTTCTATGGGATTTTTAAAATTGTTAAGGCAAGAAGTGTCAAATGCTTTAGAATTGAGTAACAAACGGATCACCAATTTCAAAGACTTGATGTATCAGTGATTTTTAAAATTAAAGGTTAAAAAGTATTAGACATTTTCAGGACCAAATTAAACTATTAAAAAAAAAATAGGTGATTGACTTGCTTAGTCATATACTGGTGGCTACTAAATCCACACATGTGAAGTCCATGTTTCAGATGATAAAGCCTGCCGTCTTCCTGTTGTGCCCATTGCTTTCTCCTCCCAATGGAAAAGAATTTAACCAGTCATGAAACCATTTGGTAAGTTGTACTTGGCTGTGCTGATCCCAAAACAAAGACTTGAAACACCAGAAAAGTAAATACAGCACAAAGGGCATAAAGCTGTTGAGTGTAGGCTTGAGTGAAATGACAATTCCACTTCATCCTCAAAGTTTTCTCTGGAATTTAAGGCATTTTATTCATTCCATTGTTAGGATGCTTTGCAAAATTTTCTGGAAACAGACTTTATAAATGCTATATAGTTGCGTTCTCATAGTTCTATTCTATAGAACATGAATGGGAAACAACGGCTTAAATGGTTTACTTCAGCCACTGTAAAGATACGACATGCTAAAATCTGATGAATTTTTCCTGTTAGACACTGCCCAGAAACACATTTAAGAGTTTTGTCTTTAAGTTGTCCACAACCACTGTAATTAAAAAACATGTGTTGGGTGATTGGTCTAAAATGAACTACCATAAAAAACGTTAACAAAAAAGGGTATGAGCATGGTTTGCCAGCAGAGTGTGCAGTGTGCTTTGGTGGTGTGTGTATATAAGTGCCATGAAGGTGCCAGAACTCTCAGGGTACGAATTTAGGATCTTGTCATACTGCACACAAAAAAAATTCTCTGGGTTAGAAAAAAACATAGGGCAAATTCTGTGTGGCCTGTCATGCTTCTTCATCTTTCCTTGGTGAAAATTAAGGCTAACTTATCAGGTTGGCCTCTTGGAAGGACAAACTGCAGAGGAAGAGTTTTATCCCATACCATTTACTTATGGTTATAGTTCTTATGTGCACAGAAATGGAAAGTCAAAATTGGAAACACCACAGAAAACTTAAAAACTGCAGTGGCTCAAACTTCTGAGTATTTTTCTTTTTATGGAAAGGTGGTTCAGGGAGTTCAGTGTTTTGTCTGCTTCTTTCTGTTCATATATTTTATAAATTTAACATACTGTAGCATTTGGCTTAAAGTTGCTTAACCTCTCAGTCACTCCTTCAGACACAGCTATTCAGAGCTTTAAAACTGACCAGATTCAGTCACTGGTTAGGCTTTCTGTGGTAAAATTTAGTATTTTCTGTTTTTTGTATGCACAAAGTGTTAGGAATCTTCATTTATCTTGTCAAGCCAAACTAGGGTTATAGAAACCTGAGGGGATCGATTATGCGTCATAGATAGCTAACAGTTAAAATTCCATTGGACCAGTAGAGCATCTTCAACTTCCCACACTTAGAAGAATCTATCTTCAGACATCCATGTGTGCAGTTTTCAGTCTTCAGGGAACTAGAGGGAGGCTAGCAGCACCGCCCTGAGTGCTGAGAGTGCTGATCTTTGGCAGCATTTCACGGGGGAAGGATCCCGAGCTAGAAATCCTGCCCCCGTCTACCGAGAAGGAATTCTCATTCAGTCTGCAAACGGACCTGGATTCATTCATTTTGGAAATAGCCTATAGGGTGACGTACATCTAACTAAACAAGTTTTCCCAATATTAAAAAACTATAAAATTTGATTCCAAGAGTTATTAAATTATATAGCGTTGCAAATGTGAATTTAATGTTTTTACATGTTAAGTGTTTATATGTTAGAGACTATATTAAATATACAGTATTTTCTTCCAGTAGTTACTACTGCTATCTAAAACATTTAAAAAACTGTACACCATTGGAAATGATAATTCATAACTACTTTCCCATTAATGAGGCTACAATCGTGTTTTAAAACTTCAGTTATAGAGATGACCTCTGAACATAAAAGGTTTACAGCTGAAAAAAATGAAAATACAACAGTCATATACTGCTGATTTAGAATCTGCCTCAATTCAGAACCACAGGGAGGAAAGTGTCCTTTATCAAAGGACTTCATGTTCTCCAGGAACACTGGTGTCCAGCTCCTGGTTTGTTTTTTTTTTTTTTTTTTTTTTTTTTTGACAGGCAGAGTGGACAGAGAGAAAGGTCTTCCTCTGCCGTTGGTTCACCCTCCAATGGCCGCCGCGGCCGGCACACTGTGCTGATCCGATGGCAGGAGCCAGGTGCTTCCCCTGGTCTCCCATGCGGGTGCAGGGCTCAAGGACTTGGGCCATCCTCCACTGCACTCCCGGGCCACAGCAGAGAGCTGGCCTGGAAGAGGGGCGGCCGGGACTAGAACCCGGTGTGCCGGCGCTGCAAGGCAGAGGATTAGCCTAGTGAGCCTCGTCGCCGGCCCTCTTTGTTTCTTAAAAGCTGATCCTTTCCTCTCGGAAGTGCAAGTGAACGGTGAAAACAAAATACAAGTGCTAAAAAGATGAAAAGTATCCAAGTTTTGAGGAATGCTGTGTCCTCAGTATTTTGCACATTCCCCATGAGAGGGGGAGGCTGGTTTTATCAAGTATTCAGTCCTTCCTTGAAATATGTTTTCTGGCAGTGTGCAGATTATGGACAGTTAGCAACGCACATACCATACATTGTGAACATTGACCCTTTTGATGATTCTTTCAGTTACAGTCTTGGGTTAGCACCACTTGGCCATGCAGGTTTTGGTTTTAGGTTTTCTTCTTCTTTAATTGTGGTCTCTTAATGTTAATCTCGTGTGGTCTTCTCAGCATCCAGGTCTTTCAGTGAGGCGCATGTACACATTTCCAGACAAATAAACTGTAATCAGAGGGGAAAAAAGTACAGGTACTTTATTACATTGAGACTTCCAGAAGTTGACTATTTTCAGTTGAGCTTTTGAGTCTTGTAAAATATTTCCTGTTAACTCCTTTTATTCTTTGTATAAGTACATGACCCCAAGGAACCATCAGTTATGCTACCTTGTTAACTAGTAAAACACAATTACTCTTTTGTCTTGAGCTGAGAAAATTACTGACCTGCAGTCATCACCTCCAGCACTAACAACGTGTCGGTCACCACTGGTAAATCGGATGTTCGTCACGTGGGGCGAATGACCCAAGAACCTTTTGTGCTTTGCCTAAAAAAACAATGACAAAGCTCAGGACATTTGCTGCATTCTCAAAGTCAAAGGTTTTTATTAGGAACCATCATTTCTATCGCATGAGCCATGGTTAGAATAGGGAGTTAGGACCACAGCCAGTAAATGTTGCTTGAGTTAGTAATGGATCTGAACTTGAATAATTTGGGTTATTTGGGCAGTCAGATGTCTCCAGATACTTGCAAAATTTTTGCCTGAGGAAAAGTATTTGAAATGTGATGATTGTAGGTTTGGTGAAAAGCTAATCACAGCTTTGTTGAGACAGTTTCCTAAAACAGAACTGAGGGAGGGAAGAGGTTTGTGTTTGCAGCTTCTATTTCAGGATAGTATTTAGGAGATTGAGAAAATTTTAGATTACAAAGTATTAACTTTTTCAAGCCAGAACAAACGTGTTAAATAATATATAAGGAAAATACTTGTGATTGCCATCTAAATTGGGAGTAAAATGATCTTAACAAAACACAAACTTACAAATTTTTCTGGACATGGGAAGTCAAATAATTTAACCATGCCAAAGTCATCCCCTGTTACAAGGCTGATTCCCGAGTGAGACACACAGGCACAGGTGACGTCAGCTTTCTCCGTATGTCTGGACCAGATTCCCATAACTTCATCTCCTAAAGTACTAGAGGGAAGGAACAAAGGAAGTCCACCATAGCATGTACAAGCAGGTTTACAATCTGGTTTCTTGTAAATTCATCTCTCTTGATTTGTGTTATTAGAATACAGCAAGCAAATTACGGTAAGGCAAGTTGGAGACCCACCTGAATTTTGACTGTGTTAATTTCTACCTTTTTAGAATGAAGTTTTATGATTTCAAGTGTTTGTATATTAGATTATCCTTTTAAAATTCAGTCAGCACTTTAAGCTGACTGGACTATTTCACATTAAAAGTGATACACTATAGGAATTTAATGGCAGTTTTCATTGACTCAAAAAGGTGGATATGCATAGAACCAGCAAATTTTAACAAACTCATAAGCTATCATTTCTCAGAGCTTCCTTGAAGAAGAAAATACGTTTCTTAACAGCACCCAATATATATTATATTACCTGTTACTAAATTTAGTGTTTAGGAAAATAGGGCATCTTTTAAGCTATAACTTCAATTTCTGCTTTTTATGAGAACTTGCCAGATCCTGGAAACTGATAAAAAGCACGGAAATACGTTCTGGCATAAACTTAACATTCATTATTCTCAAGGTTCAGTAACAAACACTTAAACCATCCCACTAGGGAATAATAATGGGATTTTAACATTAGAATCACGATTTCCCAACTTTCTGACCAAAGTCAGTAGTTCTGGGCATATGAAGTATTTACCTAGTCCACGTGGCCCATGTAATCCTGTCAATGGCCACATGGTCCAGAAGAGGTTTTCCTGAAGGCACTTCATAAACATGCCGTTTGTAGCAGCCACTGGAGACCTTCATCATGTTAAAATGGGACAAGGATTGGTGAGAAGCAAAATCCACAAGGGTTTATAGAAGTGCAAATTCTATTTGACTACATGTCTAACATCAAGAATGCAAAAAAGATCACCACAAAAACTTAGAAAAAGTGGAGGAAGGGGCCAGCACTGTGGCACAGTGGGTTAAATGGACACTGGTTTGACTCCCGGCAGCTCTGATTCTAATCCAGCTTCCTGCTAATGTGCCTGAGAGAGCAGCTGGTGGGCCCCTGCCACCCATGTAGGAGACCAAATGGAGTTCCAGGCTTCTGGCTTCAGCTGGCCCCATCTGGCTGTTGTAGCCATTTGGGAAGTGGGGAGTGAACCAGTGGATGGAAGATCTCCATCTCTCCCTTTCTCTGTAACTACCTTTCAAAAATCTTATTAAAAAGAAAAAGGTAGAGAGATTGAGTGGAAATGAACGGGAAGATGTAGGTTAGCAGATGTGAAGGATGAATAATATACAACGAGGACCTACAGGTTACAAAGTTGGGCTGTTTTGGGGTTTTCTGCTAAATGAAGGTAGCTGTTATTGCCACAGTAACAAAATTATTGTATAACAGGTGATGGGTATGTTAATTTGCTTCCTACAGTAACCATTTCCTATCATAAATATGGATCCCATAACATCATCAAGTATACTTTAAGTATACTCAGTAAAATTTATTTTAAGAAAGAATGAGGCATTACAGAATTAATGCAGAAACTGAACATAAACAAAGGCAAGAGTCAAGAAGCTCAAACTAAGGAACTTTACATGCGCTCACTAAAGAACAGAGGTAGAACTGCCCTGGTCAGCTGGATCTGCAGTCCTGGGGCTGTACCTGGAGATAGCTGCTGTCTGCAGAGAAGTCCATCTGAATGACAAAGCTCGGGATGTCTCTGCAGTAGCTGATTCTGTTCAGAGCCGGGCCCAATGTTAGGTCATAAAAGTCCACCGAGTTCTCACTAGAACCCACTGCCAGATATCGGGAATCTGGACTGAACCTGAATACATAACAAAATGTAAAAAATGTGAGGATCACATAAAATAGTTTAAATGTTAAACATCAGTAACTCTAGTTCTTGAAAATAAGTTTATGTGTGGTAAATCTTCAGATTTACCTGATCATGTATTCTAAGATTATATTTATTTGTGTTACATGAAATGGGCTTTATGTTGTACTTCAATTTCCAACAACTGTTTTCCCAATTCCTTTTGGAACACTTTTTTGTAAAATTGGTTCACGAAGGATAAGGTATGAAAAACAATGTCTTAATAGCTAAGAACACTGGTTAACTCACCTCAGGTGGTGAAGATGAAGTTCACTAGTTTGAAGCTTGGAGCATGTACATGAAAGACCTAGTGAAAATGACTTGCTTAGTGGTCCTGGGAGGCAGGGTGGGACAAGCCAGCCTTTTGGAAGTATTGCCTGAGTTGCTGAGCACCTCAGAGACTTGCAGGGCTGAGAGGAGCCACTGTCCCTGTGAGGTAACATTCTGTGGGAAGTTTTATTTGCAAAGGGATTTTACTGCTGAAGAGAGTGGAAGCTCTGACAGAGGTAGACTTCCTAATCTCACCTGGGTTGTAGCCACTGCTAAGCTTAACCAACAAGAACCAAAAGGCTCGGCTCAGGAAAGGTCTAAAGATTACTTTGGCATATAAGTGTTCAACGAACAGTGGTTAAATGACAATGAACTACATGTTCCTAAACTGAAATCAGGAGAAGACATGTGTGGGCCTGTAACTAGTTTTCCAAGGTCACAGCTTTTGAAGGGCTGGTGGCTCTCAGGTATTAATAGTGGGAGATAATTCTTGGCACAGTGAAAATGCTGGACATGTCTAATGTGACGCTTGTCAAATATTACCTAGTACTTGACAATACGTGGCATTGTGGTTGGCGCCTAGTAGAATTATTATTTAGCAAGGAGCAGTAAGTTACACAAACAGCCATATTTCAGCACACAATTTATGACATTTAAAATGCTACCGGCCCTCAAGACCTTTGTTGAAGGTGTGGACAAAAATTTTTCACAACAAGCTGGGTCATTTAAGTATGTGCTAGAAAATGCTAATCTATTTGTTGACTAACCTGATATCATGGATTGCACATCGTCTATCTCTCTTCTTTCCCCATATTTTTAGAGAGCTCACCAATAAAATAATAAATTCTCCATTTTTCATTCCAATAGCCACCATGTCCCCTTCAGGGCTATAACACACAGTACGGGCAGCATGTCCCAAATTCACTTTGTTTAACATCTTCTGCATAAGAACCAAAAGAGTCATAGAAAACCACATTAAATGAAGTTTTTACAAATTAAACCAATTTCCTCTAAACATTCTCAACATTATTCCGAGATGGTTAAGCACTAGCGGTTTAGAACTTCTACTTCTTAGAAGCTGGATCTCATCGTTTGCACCTACTTTATCAGCAACGTCCCAGAGTCGCACGGTCCCATCCTCCGCAGCAGAGAGGAAGAAATCCTTGGAAGGATGTGTCGCTAGTCCCCAGATCGGCCCATCCACGTGGCTGTTAACTAAAACGTTACAGGCGGCGTTCTTCTCTCCAACTTCAATTATTTCAGCATTCCTTGTCCCAACTAGTATCTTGCCCTGAAACAGAAGTGAGACCAGTACATTTATGTAACAACAATGCTTTTCCTAGTCATAGGACTCTATGGACCTGACTGCAGGACTTAGTCACTTTTCACTAATCTGGTAGCAAGTCACTGGTTATTCGTGTGCAAATGTTCACACATGGTGAGAGCGCTGGGCTGAGTTGCATGTTAGCAGAGTCCATGCTACAGGACAGCTTTTCCCTGTGGTAGTACCACCACCTGCGTTCCTCAATAATCAAAGCTGACTTCAACCATCGTAATCCCAGGATTTCCAGAGAGGGCTAAGGCACTGGTATAAAAGCAGACCGACCTGAGGTGGGGGGATGGGGGGGTGGGGACTGGTGCTGTGTTGTGGCAGGTAAAGCTGCCGCCTGCAGTGCCAGCATCCCACCTAGGGGCTGGTTTGAATTCCGGCTGCTCTACTCCGATCCAGCTCCCTGCTAATGAGCCTGGAAAACAGCAGAGGATGGCCCAAGTCTCCGTGCATCCTCATGGGAGACCTGGAAGAAGTTCCTGGCTCCTGGCTTCGGATAGGCCCACCTTTGGCCATTGTGGCAATCTGGGGAATGAACCAGTGGATGGAAGATCTCTCTCTCTCTCTCTCTCTGCCTCTGCCTCTAACTCTAACTCTTTCAAACAAATAAATCTTAAAAAAAAAAAAAAGGCTTGGAATTTTTAAGTTAAAAAATTGGGGCTTCTGGCGTAGCAGATAAAGCTACCACCTGCAATGCCAGCATCCCGTATGGGTGCCAGTTTGAGTCCTGGCTGCTCTACTTCCAATCTAGCTTCCTGCAAATGCACCTGGGAAAGCAGCAGAGACAAGCCCAAGTGCTTGGGCCTCTGCTCTATGTGGGAGAACTGGATGAAGCTCCTGGCTCCTGGCTCCTGGCTTGGCCCAGCCCCCTGCTGCTGTGGCCATTTGGGGAGCGAACTAGCAGATAGAAGATCTGCCTCTTCCTCTCTCTAAATCTGCCTTTCAAATAAATAAATCTTTATAAATAAAAGGAAATAATATGTAGACCGAGGAAAATATATCTATGATTTGTAAACTCAAAAAATGTGTTTAGGGATGTGGTACTTAAAAATGGAAGGGCCAGGGTGTGGCACAGGGAAGCTGCCACTGTGACACATGAATCCTGTATCAGAACCACTGCAGTCCCAGCTGCTTCACTTAAAAAAAAAAAAAAGATTTATTTGAAAGGCAGATGGGGCCGGTGCCGTGGCTCACTTGGTTAATCCTCCGCCTGCGGCACCGGCATCCCATATGGGTGCCGGGTTCTAGTCCCAGCTGCTCCCCTTCCAGTCTGGCTCTCTGCTGTGGCCCAGGAGGGCAGTGGAGGATGGCCCAGGTGCTTGGGCCCTGTACCCGTGTGGGAGACCGGGAAGAAGCACCTGGCTCCTGGCTTCGGATCGGCGTAGCTCCAGCCGTAGCGGCCATTTGGGGGGTGAACCAACAGAAGGAAGACCTTTCTCTCTGTCTCTCTCACGGTCTATAACTCTACCTGTCAAATAAATTTAAAAAAGAAAAAAAAAAGAGAGAGAGGTTTTCCATCCACTGGTTCACTCCCCAGATGGCTGCAATGGCCAGAGCTGCGCTGATCTGAAGCCAGGAGCCAGGAGCTTTCTCTGAGTCTCCCATGTGAGCGCAGGGGTCCAAGGACTTGGGCCATGCTCTACTGCATTCCCAGGCCACAGCAGATTGGAAGTGGAGCAGCCAGGACTGGAACTGGCACCTATATGGGATGCTGGCACTGCAGGCCGGGGCTTTAGCCCGCTGCACCACTTATGATCCAGCTCTTTACCAGTGAGCCTAGGAAGGCAGCAGATTGGACCCTAGTCACCCAGGTGGAAGACCTGGCTGGAGTTCCAGACTCTGTCTTTGGCCTGGCCCAGCCCTAGCTATCGAGGCCATTTAAGGGAGTGAACCAGCAGATAGAAGATACATCCTTCTCTCTGTTCCTCCTTGGAAGGAAAGGAAAGGAAAGGAAAGGGAAAAGGAAAAGGAAAAGGAAAAGGAAACATGGAGGTTTAAGGCAGTGTCTGGCTTCCTGTCTTATGCACTGGCTGCCGTTCCCAGCCTGGAGGCGCTGAGAAGGGAACCACGGAGAGTGCCACCGTCCAGCAGTCGGCCTCCGTGTATTACGTGGTCAGTGCTCGGCAGGCCGCAGGGCTGAGGGCTGACACGGTCTCTGCTACTGCCGCACAGCAGCTCGAGGCTCCGCTTACTTTGCCTCTGCACACGGCGCGGACGCAGTCTGTGCTGTGGCCTGTCTCCAGCCGGAAGGCGCGGCACCGCCTCAGCTCCTGGTCCCACAGCTTCACTGCTCCTCCTTCTTTGGACCTAAGTAAAAAACAACCAAACCCAAATCCACACTGATTATTGGCACAGCACATCATTCTCATATAAGAACACTAATTTCAGGGCCGGTGCTGTGGTGTAGCAGGCAAAGCTGCCACCTGCAGTGCCGGCATCCCATATGGGTGCCAGTTCAAGGACCGGCTGCTCCACTTCCGATCCAGCTCTCTACTATGGCTTGAGAAGGCGGTAGAAGATGCCCAAGGCCTTGGGCCCCTGCACCTGCATGGAAGATCCAGAAGAAGCTCCTGGTTTCTGGGTTCGGATCAGCACAGCTCTGGCCATTGCAGCCATCTGGGAAGTAAACCAGCAGACGGAAGACCTACCTACCTCTCTCTGCCCCTGCCCCAACCCCCAACTGCCTCTGCCGCTCTGTAACTCTGCCTTTCAAATAAATAAATAATCTTTTAAAAAAAAGAACACTAATTTCACAAGAAGAATATCAAAATAAATAAAAACCAAGGTCCTGAATCTCAACTTTTTGTGGCAAATTTAGGATATTCTACATTTTTTTAAAAAATTTTATTTATTTGAAAGAGTTACAGAGAGAGGTAGAGCCAGAGAGAGGGAGGTCTTCCATCCACTGGTTCACTCCCCAAATGACTGCAATGGCCAGAGCTGAGCTGATCCGGAGCCAGGAGCCAGGAGCTTCTTCCAGTCTCCCATGCGGGTGCAGGGGCCCAAAGACTTGGGCCATCTTCTACTGCTTTCCCAGGCCATAGCAGAGAGCTGGATTGGAAGAGGAGCAGCCAGGACTAGAACCAGCACCCATATGGGATGCCGGCGCTGCAGGATGGGGCTTTAAACCACTGTACCACAGCGCCAGCCCCAGGATATTCTATATTTCAGCCAAAGTAAACATTTAGCTCCAGCAAATTTTACTTTGTGAAATAGCCTTCCTGACAGCGTAATTTTACTTACCCCTACCGTACGTTATCCTCTCTTAACACTTCCTGCTTAAGGATGTGCACAAAACAGTTTCTAATGTTAAAAGGGTAGTTGAGGTGCAAGGTGAGATATTAAGATGACAGATGCTAGGCTAGAGATTTTACTTTTAATGACTCAAAGAGAAACATTTTTTAAAAATTTTCTTTCTTTATCTGAAAGAGGGAGAGACAGAGAGATCTCCCTTCCACTGGTTCACTCCACAGATGGCTGCAATGGCCAAGGCTGGGCCAGGTCGAAGCCAGAAGCTTCTTCCAGGTCTCCCACATGGGTAGCAGGGGCCCAAGGACTTGGGCCATCTGCTGATGCTTTTCCCAGGCCATTAGCAGGGAGCTGGATCAGAAGTGGAGCAGCTGGGACCTGAACTGGTATCCACATGGGACGCTGGTCTCGCAGATGGTGGCTTAACCCACTATTCAAGAAATACATTCCTTGTCTGCCATTAATTTATCCCACTGAGGGGCTGGTGGTGTGGCACAGTGGGCTAAGCTGCCACTTGTGAGTCGGCACCCCATATAGGAGCTTGGGTTGAGTCCCAACTATTCCATTTCTCATCTGGCTTCCCGATAATGCACCTGGGAAAGCAGAAGATGGCCCAAGTACCTGGGCTTCTGTCACCCATTGGGGAGATCAGGATGGAGTTCCTGGCTCCTAGCTTTGGCCTGACATAAGCCTGGCTGTTGTGGCCATTTGAGGAGTGAGCCAGAGGATGGAAGATCTGTCTCTCCCTCTCTCTTGCTCTGCTTTTCAAACAAACAAATCTTAGAAAAATTCTACTGAAACAGTTTAAGAGCCCACCATGAACAGGGTTGTATATAACTAAATGATATGGAAAATACAAGTGCTGGAGTAATACGTAAGAGGTAAAACACAGCACATTATGCATCTCCTCTCAGAAGAAAGTGTCCCTTAATTTTTTCTGCTAAATGAATTGCTTGTCTTAGGAAGAACTTGCCCGAGTCCCGTTTGCATTCTTCTCTGCTGTGAGAAGCTCCTGCGCTCACGTGTGATGTACGCGGGTCCTTTCCCCTGTGGTTTCCTATATGCCTTCTTAAGCACGTAACAGGTCACGTTTCAACATGCGACTGGCTATGCTGATGGCAAAGCAATGACAAGCATCTGGCTACTGCTGGGAGATCTGAAAATCACTCAGAAAAATGCCTCTCCAAAGATTTAAATTTGGAGGCCTCGTTTAAAACAATGTTTCTGCCTCAAGCAAAAGCAAACAAGGTGGTCTGTCTCTCATCCTTTCTATGCAACCATGTGCCTTTTCCCCTCTTAGCATCCAGTCTGAGAAAGAAGCAGGCAGTCAGGATGCATCCGGACTCAAAGGCAAAGACGACTCGGGGTCCCCGTCCCTCAGCAAGCAGGAGCACAGGCAGGGCGTTAGGCGATTCTGAACTTGTGGACAAGCTTCTATCCACACCTCAGGAGAAAGGTCACCCCATTGTTGGAATTGAGGTTTATCTATAGCGTGCGAACAAAACCTTGGGAGTGATTTAGGACCAGCGATGAGACAACAGAATGGATGTGAAAGGCAACCAAGGCAAAGTGCAGGAGGATCAGGGAGGAGGAGCTGGAGCCTGAGAAGAACCAGAAAGCCTCCACTGGCTCCCACGCATGCGCACAATTCAGTGAGACTGGGACAAGAAAGAGAACTCACGGCCTCTCCTTGCCACCGGTGACAATAAGTCCATCTCGCAGCGTGGTGTACATGGCAAACACGGGCCCGTTGTGGGCTCTGGCCACGACTCTACACAGTATGTGGTCTCTCCACACACAGACATCTCCACTGATGGTACCTGTAAACGTCAAGTTATTCTGAAAAGGAGTGGGGAAGGGGGAGATAAACTCATCAAAAGGTCAAAGAGAGTTCAAACCAGACGCAACCTCCCACGTGAGGGCATGCAGGGCAGAGGGGGGACCCGGGCAGTGGTCTCAAGAGGCAGGAGACCCGAGCTAGCAGCTCTGCTTTGTTGGGACCTTTCCTGACTCTATTGGTTATTTAACTGTAATAACCCTGGGGCCGGCGCTGTGATGTAGCAGGTAAAGCAGCCACCTGCAGTGCCAGCATCCCATTTGGGCACCGGTTCAAGTCCCAGCTGCTCCTCTTCTGATCCAGCTCTCTGCTATGGCCTGGGAGGGCAGTAAAAGATGGCCCAACTCTTTGGGCCCCTGCACCAGGGTGGGAGACCTGGAAGAAGCTCCTGGCTCCTGGCTTTGGATCAGCTCAGCTCTGGCCATTGCGGTCACTTGGGGAGTGAACCAGTGGAATGGAAGACCTCTCTCTCTCTCTGGTTCTACTCTCTGTAACTCCTCTTTCAAATAAATAAAATAATTCTTTAAACAATTGTAATAACCTTGGATAGTTCTTTCCTTCCAAATATTTAATTTTAGTTTATCCCTTTGCATTGCCTCACCCTAGTTTTCCAATAAATAGCTTAACGGTCACTAGTAACTGAGTGAAAATAAGAACAGGACGGGAAGAGGACCTCTTCCTAGGTTTGGTAAAGAATTCTGCCACAGCACGATGCCTGTGACGCAGACACAGGAGCGGCTAAGATGCTGTGACCTCATGCAGACCTCACGAAGCAGACCTGGGAGCATCGGGCATTCGTGTCGCTTTCTCATCAGGAGTCAAGGCCTCAAGCACAGAAACCAGCGTTCTCCCGTCCTGCCTTCCCAACAGCCCTGACATAGACGATACTCAGAAACCCCTAACGCAAGCCTGTGTTGTCTCACTGACCGCTCCACTGCTTCACACACTAATCCCCCTGCTTCTGGTGTTTCAGTCTTCCTGCTCACTTACTGAGAAAGGGCAACTGATGACACAGGAATTTTATATGTGAAGAAAGTTAGCCAGATGGGCCAATCACACGCCAGATGCACGTGACAGTGTTGGGCTTTCTTTGGGAGTAAGTTACTGCTCTTACAATCTGATTACTTACATGTTCAACTGAGGTATGACACGGCAAGACTAACATTTTCAATAGCCTTTCTTAAAAACTTAAATGTGCACTTAAATGTTCTAAATTATAATTTTCTTTTTTTAAATATTGCAAACCCACATAAACACAGTAATAAGGGTATCTAATTGCTTTTTATTGTACCAAAGCCCAGCCAGGGTAGGTATTAAAGGAAAGAGGCCCAGATGGGATGGAGTGAGGAGGGGGTGAGGTCTTGAACATTTCCCCTGTTGTCAGGACTAGGAACTTAGAGACACTGGCACAGCCTACTTCCAACCAGAGGAAGAACAGTTACGACAGAAAGCAAGTGAAATCCTAAATTCTTGCTTCTTGATTTATGTCTCTTACTCTGACAAATGGCCAGAAGTCCATGAAAAACTCCAGACAGAAATCTGGGGATATTTACAGTAATAAGAACAAGATCAACGAAGGCTTCTGAGAACAGCAATGACCAAGGACCCGAATGTTTCACTGTACTCCCCCTTCCCTCTCATTACCTTTCTTTCCCACCCATCACTTCTGAAAGTGTCAGATTTTTTGCAAGACAAAATACACGTCTGACCATGACACGGAACAGTCAGCAGATTACAGAGGCCACATAGTAATGGCAGTGTGGCTGAGGCACCAGCAGCTGCAGTTGCCATAAGCACACCACCGTGCGCGCGTTAGGAAACATACTGCGCCAAATGCCACAGCCAGCATGGTCTGCATCCGGGCGTCCTCCAGCGTGCTCAGGAGCCCTTTTCGGCTAAGAAGAGCCCTTCCTGCCAACGTCCAGAACTTCACGTGTTTAACTCCCACAGAGACAAACTGGGTGTCTGAGTCTGGGCGGAACTCTGCCACAAAGATGCGCTGATTGTGACCAGCTCTGCTGGCGATCCTGGCACCTGGTGAAGGAGACAGGGAAACCCTCGGGGTTAGTGTAAGAACCAAGGTAACTAACCGCTAGGATCCGACAGTTCAAGATATGCAGCTAGGAAACAAATGCAGCTAAATCGCAGGCGGTGGCCCTTGCAATCACGTGACGTGCAAGCACTTGTCCACAGTCCCGTCCACCTCGCTGCGCGGTCACGTTCATAGAGCTCCATTGCGTTTAGAAGCCACTTCAGACTTCAAGGACCATGCCCACCATTTTTTTTCTGTGTAGCTCCATTAACTTCTCTTTATTTAAGTTTAAGGCTTTGTCTAAAGCATATTGGGTAATATTACCCTATTGCTCTTCTATTATCATTTAAAATCTATTTCAACTTCATTAAGACCTTTCATAACCAAATTAATAATTAGCAAAGACACACACACACACGCACTGTTTCTTATGGAAAGGAAATGGCAATGTGACAGCTGTGATCCTAGTTAACAGTTTTATTCGTTTATCTGTTCATAAGCTTCCAGTTTCACAAGGTTAAAGTAGAACACACCTGTAAGCACTACCTGTATACTGTGTACTGTGCAGGGCTACAGTGAATGGTAGCTTCAATGGCCAACTTAAGGCCAATATTAAATACAGAGTTCGCATGACTAGAGTATCCTCTTAAAAATCACACATACAGAAAGAACCCTACCTTCTTGCCATCTCCAGATAGTAATGGTGTGTTCAGGATCTAGTCCCACGGACAGCAAGAGTTTGCCAGTGGCACTGAAGCTGACTGAACACACTCCCTTTGAATGGTAGCATCTTAGTATAGATAAAGTCTGCTTGTTCATCGCATCCCAGATGTGGATAGAAGGCGCTGTAGCTGAAAAAGACAAGATCCAGAAGCTGTAACGCACCTGCTACATTTCCACATCCAAAGCTGATGCATCCGTGAAACATAGAAAAATATGTACCAAGAAAAAACTGTACTTAACATAGAACAGCCCAAACTGAGACTAAATTTTAAAAAGGAAACAAGCGGGAAGGGGAGTGAAAAGCAAGGAAAAAAAATGGATGCATCTCCAGGCTACATCCCAAATGGCATTTTTGAGAAGACAGTATTTAGACAAGCTAATCAGGCACTCACAACATTAAACAATTCCTCAAGAAAGGCACATTTCATACACATTTTCATCATCATACAAATGTGTGGCGAGAACTGGATACGTATTTCCAAGTACCTCAGTGATGTCCTTCAGCAGCCGACATTTAAGCCAGCTGACACACATGACACCCTGGTGTCTTCCTGGTACAAGGCATATGAAATACACATGTCCAGCATGACTCAGTCAGGCTAAAAGCAAGGATTTTAGGCCATGGTTGTGAAAAGGGTTTTTACTGCAGCCACTTCATGACCACAGCACAGCTGGCCGTTGCAGCACAGACAGGCTGCGGCTGGCAGAGCCGGGCAGATGGAAAGTACCTGGGCCCTGGGTGACTGTGGGGCTTCGGGGGCAGCACACTCGGGCGTGTGCTAATAAACGTCTTTACTGTGTGCTGCAGAGACCACACGGAGGCCGGCTAGAGCCATGTGATGGACATCTGCCTGTGACTACCTGTACCCATGAGAGCTTTCCCTTCCCAGACTCCCCGAAGGATCCAAAGTGTCCAATTCTTTCTATTCTTTTTAAAGATTTATTTATTTTTTATTTTTATTTTTTTGACAGGCAGAGTGGACAGTGAGAAAAAGAGAGACAGAGAGAAAGGTCTTCCTTTTGCCATTGGTTCACCCTCCAATGGCCGCTGCGGCTGGCACATCGCACTGATCCGAAGCCAGGAGCCAGGTGCTCCTCCTGGTCTCCCACGCGGGTGCAGGGCCCAAAGACTTGGGCCATCCTCCACTGCACTCCCTGGCCACAGCAGAGAGCTGGCCTGGAAGAGGGGCAACTGGGACAGAATCCGGCGCCCCGGCCGGGACTAGAACCCGGTGTGCCAGTGCCGCAGGCAGAGGATTAGCCTATTGAGCCGTGGCACCGGCCTGAAGATTTATTTTTTATTACTTGAAAGGCAGAGTTACAGAGAGAGGAAGGCATTTAAAACATTCTGTCAGAGTCTTATCTTGATATTCGCCTTTCCTATATACTACACTGCAGAATAATCACTTCAAATTGAAGGTTAGGTGGAAGTTCCTCAATTGTGCAATTAAATGGATTTTTGAAATGTGGAATTTATCTTTGCATTTGCATCAAAATCTGAAAAATGCTGCTGGAACTGTAGTTTCAGCCCATAAAATGTATTTCTTGCAAATCTGTGGGAATTGGGATCGTGTTTCTTGTTTTAGTTTTCAACATGAGATTTAAACATTATGTGTTTGATTTTATCAAAGTTTCACAAGTACTGTTTTCTTGGTAATTTTTTTTTATTTTTTATTTATTTATTTATTTTTGACAGGCAGAGTGGACAGTGAGAGAGACAGACAGAAAGGTCTTCCTTTTGCTGTTGGTTCACCCTCCAATGACCGCCACGGCTGATCCGCAGGAGCCAGGTGCTTCTCCTGGTCTCCCATGGGGTGCGGGGCCCAAGCACTTGGGCCATCCTCCACTGCACTCCCGGGCCATAGCAGAGAGCTGGCCTGGAAGAGGGGCAACCAGGAAAGAATCCGGCGCCCCAACTGGGACTAGAACCCGGTGTGCCGCAGCACCGGCCATTTTCTTGGTAATTTCAAGTTACATTGATTGGTGCTGTGGCAAAGAAGGTTAAGCCTCTGCCCACAGTATCAGCATCTCATATGGGCGCCAGTTTGAATCCTAGCTGCTTCACTTCAGATCCAGCTCCCTGCTAATGCACCTGGGAAAGCAGAAGGGACCCCAAATAGGGCCCCTGCATCTACCCTGAAAGAAGCTCCTGGATCCTGGCTTTGGCCTGGCTCAGTCCTGCCCATTGAGGCCATTTGGGGAATGAACCAGTGGGTAGAAGATCTTTCTCCTTTCTCTGTCTCTCCCTCTTTCATTTCAACTCTACTTTTCAAATAAATGAAGCCTTTTTAAAAATATGAATAACTATATGCTTTACACATCTTACATTTTTATAAACTTTGTACATTTATCCAACTGTTTTTCTGCTCCACACAAATTTTTATCACTAGTCTTTTTTTTAAGATTTATTTATTTTATATGAAAGTCAGAGTTACAATAGAGAGAAGGAGAAGTGGAGAGAGAGATAGAGGTCTTCCATTCGCTGGTTCACTCCCCAGTTGACCACAATGGCTGGAGCTGTGCCGGTCGGAAGCCAGGAGCTTCTTCCTGGTCTCCCATGTGGGTACAGGGGTGCAAGCACTTGGACCACCTTGTACTGCTTTCCCAGGCCATAGAAGAGAGCTGGATTGGAAGTGGAGCAGCGGGACTCAAACGGGCACCCATATGAGATGCTAGCACTGAAGAACTGGCCCCACCATCAGTCTTTTTTTCTTTTTCTTTGTCTTTTTTTTTTTTTTTTGACAGGCAGAGTAGACAATGAGAGAGACAGAAAGGTCTTCCTTTGCGGTTGGTTCACCCTCCAATGGCTCGCTGCAGCCGGCGCACCGCACTGATCCAATGGCAGGAGCCAGATACTTATCCTGGTCTCCCATACGGGTGCAGGGCCCAAGGACTTGGGCCATCCTCCACTGCTCTCCCGGGCCACAGCAGAGAGCTGGCCTGGAAGAGGGGCAACCGGGACAGAATCCGGTGCCCCGACCGGGACTAGAACCCGGTGTGCCGGCGCCGCAAGGCGGAGGATTAGCCTAGTGAGCCGCGGTGCCGGCCCCCACCATCAGTCTTAATACATCTTAGCAGAACCCAGTTCAGATTGTACTAAATTTATGCTTTCTTAACCTCTTTCAAAATATTTTTTTAAAAAATAGATTTACTTGAAAGCCAGAGATGAGAGAGAGAGAGAGATCTTTCATCCACTAGTTCACTCCCCAGATAGCCACAACAGCCAGCTTTGGGGCCAGGCTGAAGCCAGGAGCTTCTTCTAGGTCTCCCGTAAGTGTAGCAGGGGCCCAAGGACTTGGGCCATCTTCCACTGCTTTTCCCAGACCATTAACAGCAAGCTGGAAGGAAAGTGAAGCAGCCAGGACATGAACTGGTACCCATAAGGGACACCAGCATTGCAAGCAGCAGCTTTACTTGCTATGCCACAATGATCTTAATATATTATCCTTTGTAGTTCCATGGAGACTATTCACAGAGTCTAACTCTTTAGTTTCTTTGAAGTTGGTAGTTTGAACAACTATACTGGCAGTATTGGCAGTTATCTGTCAATCCCTTAGGAGCCAAGAGATGGGTAGGCATTTGATACAGTGGTTAAGACCTCAGTTGGGGTACTCATGTGAAGATGTTGTACATCGCACTCTTTTAGCACAGCAACAGTGCTACTGAGTAATAAACACAATGTTTTGCCATATCATTTGATAATAACATTATCTATATTTCACTGTGCCTTGTAAGTATGATACTCAAAATTGACTTTTCTCTCCCCTAACCCCCTTGTTTTGACATGAGGGAGACATACTAGTTAAAACACAAAGTAAAATATGATACATTGATATACATAATGCTTAAAGCCTGTGAAATTACAACTGTGTCACTGCCACTACAGTGTGCTAAGCAGCACTGCAGGAGGTGACAGTGTCATGTACAGTCTCTGCTGCAAACTCAACCCTGCCACTGGAGCATGAAGCTGCCAGAGACAACAGGTACCTGAACGAGCAAGGCTGTGTCCAGCAAAGCTTTATTTATGGATACTGAAATTGGAGTTTCATGTAATTATGTGTCATAAAAATGTTATTCTTCTTTTGATTGTTTTCCAACTAAAAATTAGTTAAAACTATCCTGAGCTCATGAGCTGTACAAACACAGATGATGAGCCAGATTTGGGCTCAAGTTTGCACTTGCTCTTGAGTATAGCCAAGAAAATAAGGATTTTGCCTATTGTGTTGAATAACTTTGTAGTTGAATAGTAGAAAAAATATCTTACATGAAAGATCTCTGTGAGACAGACCCCAGTGAAAATAAGTGGCCATCAAAGAAGGATGTACTTTTCTCTGAAGGGTGGAAAGAACTTCCACTTTGTTTATGGCCTTTTCTAAATACTGATGGAAATTGTGGATTCAAAAGGTTTGAATCCACAGCTCATGTCAGGAGCCTCGAGCAATCACTGACATCATACATAAGGGTGTTGACTGTTAATTAACAACAGGAGTCACTGTGCACTTACTTCCTATGCAGGACTTCTGTCCTCAATGAGTTGTATTATGAAAATTAACTGCAAAACTTGTTCTCAAACATTTTGTGTGTGTGTGTGTGTGTGTGTTTGCAAATTGTTAAAATCTTTACTTAGTAGAGTTGGTCTTTGTGTATAAAGTTAACTGAAAATGAATCTTAATGGAGAATGGGACTGGGAATGGGAGAGGGAGGGGGAGGTTGGACGGGAGTAGGGGTGGGAGGGCAGCTATAGTGGGGAGAATCACTATATTCCTAAAGGTGTACTTGTGCAATTTGTACTCATTAAATAAAAGATTTCTTGGGGGGGCGGGAAACAAGAATTGTTTTAAGTGCTTTATGTACATTATGTAATTTAATCATCACAGTAATTCATCTTGGTAGTCACTAATTATCATACAGCTGGTAAGAGGGAAAGTGAAATTAAAAGTTAAATATAAATCAATAAATTTTATTACCTAAGAAATATTTTTAAAATTTATTTTATATATTATATAGCACATATATAATATCAATTATTGTCCATATTAGATCAACAGATCATTTAAGGATTTAAAAATAACTTTTTTTTTTTTTTTTTGACAGGCAGAGTGGACAGTGAGAGAGAGAGACAGAGAGA